CCGATGTTTCCGTTTATCAACGTTATATTTTAAGATCTGTGCAAGAACTCTGCTAACAGATGTTTCTGCATATAAAAGCTATCTTTAAGTGTATATAAGGGAGCATTTCCAAAAATAGAAAGATGTGAGTGAGGTGCCACTGTGTTTGATTTATTATGTGAGCAATATCTTAGCAAATGGAAAAGATATGACCTTCTTATTTTATATTCTAGCTTGTCAATATCTGTAATGAGTTTCTAGTGTAATTCATATGAAACTATAGACTTAGTATTTTGACTTCACAAACATGTAATCTGAACCAGTGCTGAATTCCACATACCACGTGTTACACAAAATCAATGTTTATCTGTATTTTTTTTAATATTTATTTTTAAATTAACAAATTGAGTAATGTATAGTTATAAAATTTGGATTATAATCTACAGTTTGATACCACACTTATTAACATAAATTCATAATATAGTAGTTCAATAAAATTTTGAATGCGAGTCAACAAGCGAGATGACATGGCTTTTCATCTGTGACCCATCTCTAAAGGGTTAGAGCAGGCAATTCAAACTATATTTGGGTTTTTATTCAACATTTATGTGACATGCACAAGATGGTCATTAATAACCTAATTGAAATGATTGGAGGATGACAGTTACACAGCCACTGGCCAGACAGAAATCCTTGAATGCTTTATAGAAGAATTTGTCCAGGCACTCTAAGAACTATCAACTTAGGTTGCTGAAGGTGTAAGTCTTGTTTTTGACAGTGCAATGAAGTTATTCATTTGACTTTCATCAAATATGTTTACCATTGCCTGTATATAGGCACGATCAATACAGAGTTATAGAGTTTACTTTAGCCAAAAATTTTATGATACTGACTTTACTTTTGCCCTATTAGCCTAACATTAGTTTTTGGTGAAGTGGTTAATAAGATGGGCAAGCACTGCCTGTATTTATATACTGGGGTTATGTGCATATGATGTCATGGAATACTGTTCTTTTTTTTGTCAGTAGTGATGAGCTTGCAAAGTAGTTTATGGCTTTTTTGAGAGAGAGAGAAAACTTTATATCACTCAAATGTACCCGGGCTTTTATGTAACTCTGACAATAGATTACTATTTTCATGATATGTGGGGAAGACTAACCTAATACGTTCACTTGACTTTGCAGGGGTGACTTTTCTTTGTTCGATTTCAAGCTTTTTGTTGACTATAATTTTTCGCAAGTTAGCTGCATCCTGGAAAACAAAAAAATCTTGGTCAAACCCACAGTTAGAAAATAAAACCCATACTAAACTTGATATGAAATAAATAAGCACTTTATTACAGAAACCTTAATCAATAAAGTTATGACAAAGTACCTCTACCACAGAATATTTTGAAACAAAAGTGAATATTCCCATTTGCCTAAACTGAAAATGTATTTCCGATAGATACTTACCACCTCTTACAAAATTGCTTTTCTTGATTAGTACTGCCCTCTATTGGTGCAAATTTTCAAGGCTCACTACTAGCCTTCCACCTCCTGCTTCTGCATATTCAGATGTAAATGATTATGCAGCAACTCTCTACCAACCCCTAGCATAACCAGCGCCTTCTCCATATTTGCACTCATTAATTATTTCTCGGTTAGTCAGAAGTCCTACACCACATATCACTAGAAGTGGGGAGGCTGGGTAGGAAATATGAGGGGTGGTAAGTATCTATTGGAAATATATTTTCAGTTTAGAAAAATATGAACTTACAACACAATATCTTACTTCTTCTCACAAAATAGCTAGAATCCCACATTGAACTGGTGGAGGGCTGGTTAAAAAATGATCCTTCTTAAGGAAATGCCCAAAGAGAGACCATGAAGTGTGGAAACAAAAAAAGAAAATATCGCAGCTCAGTAGGAGACCACACCACATCTGATCTAGGTATACTCTTCACTCTTTTATGACTGTGTTGCAAACATAAAAGGCAGAAAAACACGAAGAAATCCCATGATAAGTATTACTGATTAATGGGACCCCTGGGTGTTGAGTGGCTAAGGTGCAACAGATCGTAGTGGTAGTTCGACCTCATCCAACATCTGGCAGTATCTGGAATTGTACAACTGTTCCACAGTAGGCAGAGAATCACCTAACTCTTCACCTTGAAATTGAAATTTGTAGGGAAGACAAGCTTCTGTTCCTAAATTTGTCTCCACTTGCATGCATTTCCAGCCCAGCTCAACCAACCCTGATCCACCATGAACCGAATAGCTGGTAGGAAGGAAGAAAGCCCCGGTGGGATGACATCTCTAGTCCAAAACCTAGCAGTATTGGGTGTGGTTCTTCCAGCCCAACCCAAGGGGATATGGGTTTCCATAGAAGACTACATCCCCAAAAGCAATAGAACCTTGTGAGCGATTATAGAAGGAGCAGTAAGGGCACGGAGAACTGAAAGCTCCATCAAAGAAGAGAAGGTTAGACCCAACTGAAATGAGTGTTGAAAAAATAAGTTATCTTTAAGTTTGCAAACTGTTTTAAAATTCAAAACAGGATACCTGGTTGTACACAAGTGGGAATACATGACAATACCCAGCAGATGTAAGAAAAAGGGATCGCAAACCTGGGGTGCATCTCCAGTCCAAAACCTAGCAGCATTAGGCATTTTTCATCCAGTCCACAGTAGGAGGAGGGATACTGGCTAGCACACATGTAAGGACTTATTTAGCTGGACCATCTCCAACCAACACCTGACCCCCTGGGAACCACATTTGGAGGATGGTAGGTAGGAGGAATGCCATGGTGGGAAAAAGCAATCTTTCAGATATATATATATATATATATAAATCTGGCAGTATCTTGTATTGTACATCAGGTCCATTATAGGAAGTGCTATATGCCATTGACATTTGAAGAATGCCACTAGCCTAGTCTTAGCTGAGTGGTATGATGCATCCCCCAGAAGGACAGGCTTCCATGGTCCACCACCCCAGTGGCTAGGAACTGGTAAGTAGCAAGAACTAGAAGAAAGGAGGGAAAAATACTTTGGAGAGACCGTAGGACTGCACCACCAGAAATAGTGCAATGGGTGACCACGATACCCTATTTTGAAAAGCAGAGCTATCACATCTATAGAGTCAATCAACCAACATCTGGAATTGTACATCAGGTCTGTGGCAGGAAGAGTGTCAACACCATGGAGCATCAGAGATGGGCAGCAACTCCCATCTGCTTTACTGATGATTGTCCATCAGTGTATGGTCTGGGACAAACATATTTATGAAGCAAAATACCGCTACAGAGAACTACTAGTGGTCCTACTAAACACCCCATCTCTATGCTGTGCATAACCTAATCCTGCAACATAATTATTTTGACATAGATGACAATTTAAAGAAGACACACAACCAACATCAGGCAGCATATGAAATTGTACATCAGGTCCATAGTAGGAAGAGCTACAACATAATTGACATCAAGCATGGTCACAGGATAGACAGTGCAGATTTAAAAAAAAAAAGTATACCTGGTCAGGCACCACTCGCCACAGAGTGAGATTGACAATGCACTAGCAAAAAGGCCCCTATAAATAAAGAAATAACAAAAACACAGTAAAGAAAGAACTAAGTCTGTAGTATAGAGGAAAACGTCAAAAATTTTGCGAGCAAAAACAAGCATGTCTGTACATTACTACTGTCAATCAAGAAGTGATTAACGAGTGCAAATGTGGAAAGGGCACTGATTACGATAGAGGTTGTGTCACACTCCCTTTGGTGGAGAGCTGCACCATAATCATTTACATGTGGATATACAGAAGTGGGAGGTGAAAGGCTAGTAGGAAGCCTTGAAAATTTGCACCGACAGAGGGCAGTACTAATTGAGAAAAGCTATTTTGTGAGAAGAGATAAGATATTGCATTGGAATATCCTTATGTAAAAGTTATTACTGGCAGAAGATAAGAAAATGTAGATAAAACTAAAAAACAGTTTCAAAGATATCTCCTAATATATTTGTTGTACTATATCTTACTTTTGCCACATCAAAGACTCTTTATATTTTCATTCACAATAATCTTAATTTACAAACAAGATTACCGCTATAACTACAGCTGTATCATATTATCTGCATATGTTCAGAATGGTGCTTTCCTTATCTTTTGAACCAAAATGTCTGTATGAGATCATAAACTAGATGAAAGGAAAGACTAAAGGTGAAATGCTACAGAAGTACTTCTTTTGAAAATGTAGTATAATAATAGAATTTTTTTAAGTATCACACCCTTACTTACCTTTGTAAGAATCAATACATTAAAAGAAGAATCTTACCAGAAGCAAGCATGAATCAGTATCTATTTATGACTATTCAAAGACATTCTTAAGGATAAACACCTTTCACACAAAAAAATTAGAAAACTCAAAAATCATTTTGAGAACCCAGACTAATGTATATGGAAATGGAATCCTACTCTTATGATTACAAGTACATATATATCTATGATAAATTAGCACCAACTTCCTTGATAAACTAGAAACAGAGCAAGGAATGAGTTGGAAAACTCTAGAACATATGCTGAAGTCATAGTTAAAGATAATTGTTTAAAAATACAAACACAAGTATTTTTGAAGAAATGGTATGTGAGGAAGTAAAGTTTGGGGGAAAAAATTAGTTGGTAGTGTTTAAATACAAAGTTCTAGTTACTAATTATGTATCTAGAAATGTTTAAAATGTTAAGAGTACCTATACCTATGTGAAACAAGAATAATGACAAGTGGACTGTACATAGTAGCAATTTGAATGGTGTAATACAGCTTTAAATTGTGGGATTTGAACATACTATTTTCTGAGAATGTGCAAAAGTATGTAATACTATTTGTAATGAGCTTTATTTCAAAAACAGCATACAAGAAACAGGAGAAAATCTTAATCCAATAGTTACAGCTCAATATGCATACAGTTATAGCTCCATATACATATAGAGACAAGTTTACATATTAGAATGTCTTTATATTTTTGGTGGTTTGTCAAGATCTAAAAGTTTCTGCATATGTATGAGAATTAGGCAATTTAATCAATTACCTATAATAGCAATTATATCAATTAGTGTCAGGTAAACTATATGATTAATAAAAATTCCGATTAAATTGATTTTCATGAAATTAATCAACTAATTAAAATTAGTGTTTCTGGTTATTAATATTTTTAATTTTCCAATAACTTATTAATCAGAATTAATATAAAATTGACTGTCAACTAATTATTATTGTTTTTGATTATTCCAACTATCCAAGTAATCAAAATATTGCCAATATGTTTGTTTTTTTGTTAAGCACAAAGCTACATACTGTGTGTGTATAGAAAGAGATACCTCATTTGTGTCTTTGAGGTTCAATTCCTCTTGCAACTGAACTTCCTCACCCTGCCATTGTTACTGCTACTAAGACTATCTGTCACTGCCAATGATTTTGAACTTTTGCTTCTCTGGCTGCTAAAGTGTTAAATAAATTGTAACTTTTTTTGCATTATGTTATGCTTCTAATTTATAATTGCATAACTATATTCTATAAGCAAATGTGAATCTCAGGGAGGGGGTCTGGACCCTTCCAATAAATGTTTTAAAGAAATAAATAACATGTTTTATTGTTTAATTATCAAATTATTTGATAAACAGAAATAAGTGCAGATTATTGCATATTTTTAAAACAAACATACTGGCAAAAGTACGGTGGTATTTAGTCAACATTAGTGATTCTTTGGTCATGTAAAACATTTCCAGATTATGTCTAAAAAAGTATTTGTGGCAAAAGCACTTTTTCAAACAAAAATAAGTTTTTTTGAAGATGTGCAAATGGTCATCTTCATAACAGGTTTATCGTATAAAATAAATGGTTATTAGAAAATTATTGAAAAAACAAAAAAACAATATGAATAAAAGCAGGAAGATTAATACCATGTGAGTATAATACAGTGGCTGAAAGTTATGAAGCTAGCACATCTTTCATTTTTTCTTTTGCTTGTACAGAAAGTGTGGTGGATGGAGGAGGGGAGACATTCTAATCAATTAATAGAATGTGATTGATTGATGAGCAATTTGATTAATTTATCAGCAAATACCAGTAATCACCCAGCACTAATGTATTTAGTAGTAATAAAAAATATATTCAAACTGTACCAGTTGTATCTCAAATGTTCATGAATCTTTTCAATGAATGTTTGAAACCTTAAAGTTTAATATATTATAAATTATCTATTCCATATACACAGTTATACTTTTCTACCATTATAGAGACTGATACTTAAATCTGATGTATGTATTATTATTATAGTTCTTATAGTTTAGTTGAACTATGTAATCACTGCACTACAATATTGGAATAAAACAAACTTCTATTACATAGAATTGCTTAAAAATTAAAACAAAAAGTTTATTCACCGAGTAAACTGTCATAAAATAGTAACAGCAATTAGATCAAAGTTTGTGAATTGTTATTCATATTATGGATTTCATTGTTTATCATATATTATTGTAAAAAAATTATGAAGCAGCTAGGCTGATTAATAAAAAATAAGATATAGAGTTATTCTTTTTTTTTTAACTTGAGAAATTATATTTCCAAATACATATTTTTACTGAACATATGAAATTGTATGTTGTTAGAACTTAAAAAAAAAAGTCTTAAAATATATTTACCAGGAAACTGCTAAACATATACCTTGTATTGATTTAAATAAGGTTTTTAACAATTTTAAATATAAACTATATAGTTAGAAACTTACCCTATAAATCTGTGAGCCTGGTTCATTGAATAGTTTAGCATTTTTAACCATAAGAAGTAGGTCACTCTCTAAATCTGTGAGTGTAGGGTAACTGTTATTTTGTATTCTGGTTGCTATTGTCTTCAAGTCAACTGGTTCTTTGATTACTCTGTAGTACTCAGGGTAGCGCTAAAAGCCATAATAATTGCTATTTAAAACATGAAACATTTTTGCAGTGTTATATTTAAACATCTTAGGTCAAAGTGCCAATAAGTTTCTCCAAAAAATTGTTTACCTTTTTATTAAAACAATAAGAAATTGATAGACAATTACTGTTTTTAGAAATATTACATTCACACAGTGCAAACTAGTTAAAAAAAACTTGTTTAATTTCTAGCAGATAGATTGGATAATGTTAAAATTAACATAAATGTTCACAATGATACCCCGTTATTGTAATTAAGAACAAACAATATATGCATGTATGTACGTGTGAGTGTGAATACACACATTTCAGTCAAATAACCAGTCTGAAAACTAGCATGACGCATACATAATGAACAAATAAAATAACAGAAATAGAATGGCATGGGTATGTATAACAGTATCCATTTTATTCTGTGCTTCCAAACAGTAAACAAAATATTTAAAATTAGAAAGAAATATGAATTCCCAATGTCTCACAATAACATGTAAATGTAAACTAAAATTGTAACCTTCACCTAGACACGTACCTAATTAAGTAAAATATAATTACTAACCTGATTTGAAATACAGATTGCTGGGCACAATAAGCAAAATTTCTTACTCTCTCGTATGTTCAAGTGATGAAATTAAAAGTACTTCCTGTAATTAACTCTCTCAACACAGGCTCAGTCAATTTGACTGACCACGTGACCTCTTTATAGATTTAATACTTCTAACTTTCAACATAGTGTGTAAATCTTCACAAAATTTGGCAGTCTTTCAGTTAATATTATGTCTTCCACATAGAAAAAATAATATTTTTGAGTGAATAATTCTTAATGAAATAAAATAAAGATTTGTCTAAGAATACATTGAGTGTTTGATTTGAATAGTCTGTGTGCAGAGAAATTTTTGTGTTAAAATGAAAAAATACTTTTCGTCATCTCAAAAATCTCAAATTTCCTTTGTGTAATCCCTAAAAACTTCCTAAATGCATTTCAAACGTTTTTTTCCGGTAAAACTTTATAGTTTATCTGTTATTTTCTCTACCCTATCTTAAAACAGAATGGGTCAATTCGACCAACCTTGTAATCACAAAAAAATTACCCTTTTTTCTTTCTAGAATGACTTCAAATTGTAATATGAAACTATTTTCCTTTATCCTAAGTAGCTCTAAGTTTGTACCAGTATACATCTATTTATAATTAAATTTTTTGTTTTATTGCCCTTTGAAACACGTCTAACTACTATCCACACCATTATAAGTTGTAAATCACTAAGGAAACATGCAGCTCAAGTTACTCTATCAAATTACATTACACACGAACTACTATGAGCTGTTTGTATGTGCCTCATGAAACATTTTTATCATAATATTATTATTTATTTCACCTAATCAAATCTTAACTAATCTAAAAGGATCCCTATTTTTAGATTTTTAGTTACTTTTATACTTTATACATAAAGAATAAACATGAAATAAAATAGTTAACCAATCTTCTCTTTTCTTGCTATTGATTGTCAAAGGGAGTTAACCCTAATTTCTAATACTAATGATAGTAATGCACTTAATAATTTTTATTTAATTAAATAA